CTCATTAACAGAATAATAATAATAGAAAGACAGATACAAAAGAATTAGAGTAGAAATATTTACAAAAGGGTGTAATATAATGTTTAGTCAAATATATGTTTTAAATTAAATATAGCGGTGTTATAATCCGCTACACTATATAATTTCTTCTGTTAACTGCACAATTTAGAGAGAAAAACGATCCTGAAAACAATTTTTGCCGTGTGAACACACGGCACGTGTGAATACTTCTTTACACTTGCTTGTGTCTCTGTTGCCGTGCACGGCTACGGCGCCGTGCCGTTGCAGTCCCCACGCCGTGCTGCGACGGCAGCGAACCGTGTTGTGTGAAAGCTTGCATATAAACCAATGTATTACTATTATACACGGCGCCAGAGCCGTGCACGGCCACGGCAAAAAACAGTCTGTGCGAAAGCAAGGTAACACCACATTTCGAACGCTTCTAACCTTTTTCTTTTCGCTGCGACCATCGTCCATGTTTCACACCCGTACAACGCCGCGCTCCAAACATACACCTTTAACAATCTTTTTCAATTTCGAAATTAACCGTTGGCGAGTATAGAAGTGACTTCTTTTTATAGAAGGCGACACGACCCTGCACTACCCTGCACTACCCTCTGCTTTATATCCCTTCCGTCCTGACTTGTCGGACTTCCTAGATACCTAAAATTAGCCACTTCATCTAATTTTTCGTCTCCTATCTTTATATTCGCTCTTTACCTAGTTGTACTGTCTTTAATGATATTGATTGCATCTTCGATGTATAGATTAAAAAGTAGTGGTGTCGTAAACTGCCCATCTACCAACTTCAAACCAATTAAGTATTTGCAAGTCCAAACAATACACTTTCAATGTACAAATATAAGCGATGCTATTGTTATTTTGCTAAGGTGGAATTAATCTTTCCGATAACATAAGTCGTAACTAACTGCTTATGTTTCTATATTTGTGACTAATTGATTAAAACTGTCAGATAAAAATGAGTATTAGAAGCGCCTAATGTTTTAATGTTTAATGTTCATTTGAACGTAGAAATTTAATGGGATAACCACTACAAATAGAAATATAAGTCCTACATGGCAAACGAAATTCAAACCTTTCTGATACATTTTGCCGTATCAGGTTTTGCGGCAGCTGTATCGAAGACCCTTATAAGTCCGCTGGAACGAACGAAGCTTATTTTACAAAATCAGGAGGCGTCTCTTCAACGACGATTTATGACNTTATCGACTGTTTGATACGACTTCCTAAAGAGCAGGTTTGAGAATCTTTCAAATGTATTTTAACCGAGACAGTGAATGTTTTTAGGGTTAAATTAAATGCATCAGTTAATTAATTTTTACCACTACAGATAACCTCAAATTAATGTTACTGTTATGTCATTAATTTAAGGTTATCTGTAGTGGGTAAATTTAATCAACAAATTAATTCACTAATATATTATATTTTATCTTTAGCAAATGTTAATAGGTACACCACTGCGTCTGAACTTTAAATTTCATAAAACAGCAAATTAGTTCAAAATGGGATCTTACATCCGTCAGTTATTTTCTATCATATAAAATATATATAAATATGTACAAACTAAAGTTTAATAATGTTAAAGAAAAATAATGTTTTAATATTATGCTTTTGGTAAAAGTTTATTTTACAAAACCCTCTGTGAAATTTCCCAAATTCAAATTAAAAATATCTCAAAAGGCTATAAAGGGTTGAAATGTCATAGGCGTAGCTAAGGGAGAAAACTTACTACCAATCCCCAACAAGAGACATAGCAACAGTGCAAGCCCGTGCAGTATATGGTGTTTCTGAAATAAGCTGTAAGCTTTTTAAGGGTGTTAACTACATGTAATGGGGAATCGCATGGTGAATAAAAAGTGTGATTAAGAGACAAAATTTGTAAGAATGCAACCCTAAATAAAGAAATCAAGGGGGTTACCGATATACAGGGAACGAACGTCCAATCCAGCGTCTAGAAAACAGGAAGTGCACCATTACGCTAGAAAAACATATGTCCATGCTCTTGTAGCGATACATCCTCAAGCACAGTCGGTAGAGTTTCTTATAAGAAAGTTAAATACATCACCCCATTAAACGCGCATCAGGTACAACAAACGGTCCAAATAGTTTGTTTACCGTGAATGATCAAAGCCAAAATAGGGGTGCAAATAATTTTATTGATGTAAAGTCAACATCAATCATTTTATATCAGAATATTTCCTACCCCATTTTGTTTCCCATCTTTTACATAGTGTAATAAGAGAGAAATAGAATCCATAGTTTCTTTAGCTTTGGGTTCATCTAATAAGTGAAGATTTTCGAATCGTTTTGGCTATACGTCTTCATTAGCATACCATAATATCTTCTAGTTTTCAGTTTTACACAGCTTGCGATTACCAATTCGATATTGTTTTGTGGGCTGTTTTGTCGTAATTCATGGAATTTCGTAGTTCCTTGCTAAAGGTACCCTAAGTGGTGATTTGGGAGGTGCTAATATCAATTTGGAACAAGAAAAGTTCCATGGAGCATGACATTGAACTCAGAAAACAATATCGATCCAATATTTTATATTATCTATTTTTAAGGAGTTTAGATTTTTTTTGGGCTCTCTTCAGTTAAACAATCAGAAGGCATTCATGGAATGTTTGTTTGTCCCATTTTTAAGCTTCTAGGTAATACTTTCAATGGCTAATGTGAGCAACTTTTATTCACCATTTTATATAAAATTTGATCGGTGATACTAGCAAAACATTTAACGGCAAAAATGGTATTTTGCATTTTATAAAAAGAAAATGCAAAATAAAAAATTACATTCTGGTTACATTGGGCAATCAATTTCACAGAGGATGTCGTAAACTCTAGCCACGGTATCAATGAAATAGGTAGTTTTATGTAGCATACTCGTAGTTCCACTTTTCTGTATGGAATCTAGATACCTGCTAGTCACTCAAAAATTAGAGAGTTAATTTTTTTCAGCAGAAGATCGCGTTATTAAAGATTCTTTTCAATAAACTGTACTATATCAAGTATTTATGGGACAAATGATAATAAAAATCTGACTTAAACCGGACCTTTCAGTCCATAAGATTTTGCTTTTTCTTTGTTTCCAACGTCAATGTAACTTTTTTGTTATATTTAAAGATTCTCAAATCATAAAATTAACGGACGAATTAGATAAACAAAGATTTTTTAATCATACTATTTTTGAGGAACAGACTCGTTTTCTACGTTTACCTAAGTAAAGTCTAAATGGTGATGGTTAATCCCACAATAGTAGTTGTTTATTAAGTGCTTCTACTAAATATTCACCTATTGGGACTTACCTCTGGGATACGGTAAAAAATTGGGAAAATAATTTTAAGACATGGTAGTCGCGTATGACGTCTTAAGGTTTTAATCCTTGTTCAGCATTTTGTTAGAGCGTGCATTTACCTAACCTTATCTTACATGGTAATACTTACCTTTTGTTTATGGTACTCTAGACAAAAATCGTTCCTAAAAATGTTTACTGTATGAGGTGGAGATAGATGAGCTAGGTTATCTCATAATGAGACAAGAGTTCGATGTAGCATTAAAAAACTCAAAGAATAATAAGGCGCCAGGTGTACATGGGATACAGGGGAAAACTCTAAAACATGCAGAACAAGAGGTTAGGGATCGTATGTTTAAGCTAATTAGTCATTTACGAGACGGGGAAAGTTCCAGAGGATTATAAACGGAACGTGGTAGTAACCATACCTAAAAAGAGAAGAGCGAGACATTTAGAACAATCAGCTTAACTTCCCATGCGTCAAAAATCTTAACTAGAATTGTACAGAGGAGGATGGAAAAAAGGGTGGAATAATATTAAGGGAAGATCATTTTGGGTTTAGACGAAATAGAGGAACGCGAGAGGCCATTCTAGCTTTAATGACAACAATAGAGAAAACGATAGAAAAAAGAAAGAGGGCGTACATAGGATTGGTAGATTTAGAAAAAGCTTTTGACAATGTTAAATGGGACAAGATGTTAAATATACTTAAAAATGTAGGGATGAGTTACAAAGACAGATGAGTAATACTTAGTTTTGTATTAAGAACAACAGGCAGTTATAGAGATGGTACTGGAACGTAGAGAAGTAAATATTACGAAGGGAGTCTGACAGAGATGCACACTGTCACCGCTACTTTTTAATCTATACATCGAAGATGCGATCAAGAGGTGTTGGCAAAACAGTATTGTATGAAAAAAAATAAAAATAAGTACTGATATGCAAGGCAAGGAAAAGTAGGGGAAAAGCGAATATAAAGGTAGGAGACGAAAAATAAGAAGAAGTGGCTGATTTAGGTACTTAGAAAGTCAGATAAGTCAAGACGAAACGAGTAGGATATTATAGCGCAGGGTCGAGTCGCCTTCAATAAAAAGAAGTCACTTCTATGCTTGCGAACGGTTAATTTGGAAATTCGAAAAAGGTTGTTAAAGGTGTATGTTTGGAGCGCGGCGCTGTACGGGTGCGATACACGGACAGTGGTCGCGACGGAAAAGAAAAGGTTGGAAGCGTTCGAAATGTGGTGTTACAGGCCAATGATGAGGCTACCGTGGATAGAAAAGGTTAGAAATGAAAAGATATTAGAAAGAGTAAGAAAACAGAGGACTCTATGGAAGCCAATAAGAAATAGGCGAGTTGGGTTAGTAGGACACCTTCTCAGGCATGAAGTTCTAGTCAGAGACATATTAGAGGCAGAAAGGGAAGTTAGGAGGAGTAGAGGAAGACCTGCATTAGATTACTGTTCGCAAATATTTAAGGATATGGGTTGTTCTAGTTTTAGGGAAATGCGAAGATTAGCTCAGGATAGGAAAGGGTGGGGGCGCGTGCCCAACCAGTCTTAGGATTGACGACTTTATAACGATGATAATGTATGAGGTTAGGTTAATTTACGTTACGATGGTCAGAATAAGTCAGCCAAAATACAAAATTTGGTAAGTTTTTACATTAATTGGCATTGCTATTTTTGAGTGGTTTTTGCAAAAATGAGGTAAATTGTTACATTGTACACGTGAGGTGTTTGTTGCTTTTACAGAAATGTGAAGTGGAAAATGTAATGGAAGGGGGGAAAGGGGAAGGGTATTTTTGCGGGTTTAGTGACGGAATTTGTTGCATTGTATTGTATATATTTGAAAATTATCAGCATAAACACCTCTACAATATATTAAAAATTGAACGTCATCCTATTTGCTGAAACAAAGATAATCTTGTGACATCATTCCAACATATTAGCCCGCCTCCGGCGGGTAGGAACATTAAAGAAACCCCAGTCTCTCATAAATATAACGTTACCAATGCATTTTTGGCGGGAACAGCTGACGAAGGGTTGGAGTCAGGACCATACCTAACCGAAATTTTCTCTGATTAACAAAACTTTAGCAGACTGTATCTCATGCCACATTGCTTTCCGCTTGGAATAAACAGTACCACACGGTTCTATTTGCTGAGTATTACCTATCTAACCTCACTTCACGTTTCAACTCGTCTGTCAACTAATGTAAAAAATGACCCAAAATTTCGCCACTTATCTGCAATGAAGTCACTTTAGTTGCAACCAAAGTGCTTCAAACAAATGTATACATCTATAGGGTTGCTAGTTTGTCATTCTTATCAGATGGCAACATCAACGCGTTTCTTATCTCTCAAATGCTGAACATGGAATGGAATGAGTGTTTAAAAGAATCATATCATTCTCACTAATAATAAATCATTGTTTTTAGAAAGCAGTAGTAGAAACGATTTTACGAAGCAGCAGCTCAACTATTTCTCGTTTGTTTCCAGGGTATTCTGAGTTATTGGAGAGGAAATGGGGCAAACATACTTCGTTACATGCCTTTACAAGCTCTCAATTTCTCCTTTTATAATATGTACTACGATATATTTCAAAGTTATCGTTGTGGTGATTTAATAAAAACATTTGGTCCCGGAGCTCTTGCAGGACTTAGCAGTATATCTGTTGTTTTTCCACTGCAATTCTGCACCACAAGATTAGCGGTGGATATAGGAACAGGTAAAACAAAAATTTATAAACAATTAAAGAAAACGAATGTAAAGTTTTAAAAATGTATACTGATTGTTCACAACAATTGTTTCACCATAACATTGACTTCTTCAGGTGAAAACATTTAGAATATACAATGTTATGGTGAAACAATTGTTGTGAACTTTACTTTTGTTTCCTTTAATTTATTATGGAGTTTCAACAAGTAAAGCCTCCCACCATTAATTATTTATAAACAGCAGTGGAATAATATAAGAACAAAGGCTTTCACGGTCGGAATCCATAGCAGAATGAAGATTCGGGCTATAGGGCCGTGTTCTAAGTGAACTGTTTTGTCCAGACGTTTCGTAAATGAGCTGAAAATAGCCATTGTTTGCCTATTCTGAGCGCAATTCTACAATTGAATTGATCACTTCATTCTATTCTAGTTCGAGATAAATAGTTTCTTATCAGAAAGATTTATTACCTTGCGTCCAACATATATAATTTTTAGATAGCGGAGTGAATGCACCAAAACGAGAATTTTATGGGTTAAGGCATTGCTTATCAACTGTCGCAAAGGCCCACGGAATTTTGGGGTTATATAGGGGATATATAGCCAGCGCAGTAGGCCTAACGATCTATCGAAGTGTTTATTTCGGACTCTACCAAACATATAAGCAATTTAGTAAATCATACTTTCAACAAGCTCACTGGGAGGGAGGCAGTTTTATAGCATTTCAATTGATGGTAGCCGAGGTAGGTAAAATTTATTTTCGTTTAAGATACAGTAAAATTATATACCTATAGGTATACAATGAAATAGGAAAAGTTTAAATAAATTTCTTAAAAATTCAATTATGAATTTTCCTGACAAAAATAGAAGTCCTATGACGATGCGTTTTTTAAATTGAAACCTCAATTTTTTTTGTTCCGTATTTGGAATGTATGTCCAATTTTGACTAACAATGAGTAAGGGGAAGTCGGGAAATTTCGGGCACCTAAGGAAATGTGCTCATAAAAAGTTCCTATCGTATCCGAAAACATTCATAATTTTACTACTGATTCCTACGAATATTTGACAATTGATCTACCACAAAACAGAAATGTAGTTTACCATTCTAAGTTAAAAAAAAAATACAACGTGTAATTATACAATACGCTACTAAAGTGAAACTTCTTCAAACACATACATACCGTGGGTAAAGAAGTTTCACTTCAAAAAACTACAAAAATTTGAAAATGCTACGAACTGTTAAACAGTATGGATACACATGTGTATTTTATTTTACTTTTTGCTTCCTTCTTGGTTGCGTTGGATGCCACACGTATAATTGACTGCAGCAGTACCAAATTTCCTTATCGCATTTAAATTCTCCACAAACCAAACACATACCATTGATTTGAATTGGGTCAACATCAATGAGAATCAACTGGATTTCATGAAAAGATTCAAATTTGGAGTCCCAAACTCAACTTTTCTTGCGTAAAGCCCGTTTCTTTTGTTTTTCTTCTTCTTCTGCATTATTCTCCTGCCCTCAAGTTTTTTCAAGACACAAATTCCTATGTATAGTACAGTCGAAATAAGAAGGCAAAGTCACCAATAAATAATACACACTAAAGGTATATCGTTTTTCTCGTTCTTACAAACGGAAGATATCTTGTCTTTATTCTCTAGACACGCCTCCTCCACAGCTGCGTCGATGCCTAAACCTACGTTTCATAAGAATCAATCGAATAGAATGAGACGGTTGAAAACGTGCTTGTCTTGTTGTCTGTACCTACATTAAATGAGCAAATTTACAGGATCGGCTTAAGGTAGTAGTCGTGCTACAGTATGGTGAAAAAGTTATTGTAAGATCTAAGATAATTCAATGCAATAATATTTATATAATTTCGATTGTACATTTTACAAAATAATACTTACGTCTGTTTTTAAGTTCCACCTTCTTTTCGTATCCGGGATACGGTTCTGCAGCTAATGTTCAAAACCTCCGCCGCTATGTTTATAACGGAGATTTTTTCTCAACTTGTTTCTTTCTTTCTTTGAAAATAATTAATAACATTCCAAACAAGTTTTCTACTCTAAGAATTTAAAACTTCTTGGACCATTTCGTTGAAAGTTAACAACAAAAATAACAATAAAAACAACAATAA